ATGGTATAATTTCCGCAGCTGAAGGAAGGCGTTCCTGGCCACCAAGTCCACCTGGGCTTCCAGAGTTAGATCTGACCTTGAAAGTAATTCAAGATACGGCTTTGCTTGTAATTTGCAGGATTATATTGTAGTTCCAGACACATTGTTGGTTTTTTAAATGATTATATTGTAGTTCCAGACACATTGTTGTTTTTTTAAATGATTTTATTTCAACTAACAACACATATCTAAAATGCAGTACAGATACCCCAAACCCTCCCCCACTTTGAGGACAGGGATTCAGACCTCATTACATTCCAGCTTTCCCAAACTCCAGAGAGCATTGAAAAAAAGAAAAAAAAAAACTAAAAAAGACAAAGCTCATCAATCATTTTGCCCTATCTTCAAGTCTGACCCTGGGCCCAAGCATGTATTAAGTTCCAACTTTGTTTTGCATAGTGTCGTGGTTGATCTCGTAGCGCTTCTGATAGTGAATCGAGTTCTATAATGTTCATCAGCTTCTTCAGGAGCTCCTCCATTGTAGGTACGTCTTCACTTTTCCATTTTTGAGCTAGCTGCTATCAATACATACATCAAACAATATTTAATTTTCTTGTCAGTAATTTCTGGCAGACACATTGTTTTTAATTTGTTAGGCTCCTGTTTTCCCATCACTTTCTCAATTTTTTTTAAATGGAGAAGGCAGAAAAAGCAGCCTAATATCTCATGTTTGCAGTGTTGACGCACTTAGGTTTGTGTATCCTAACAACAGTGGCCACAACACACAGAAAAATCAGCACCTTCTCCCTTCTTGGGCACAGAGAGAAAGGGCAGGTGAAGAACAAAGATGACTGCATTCGCAAAGGCTTTCACGGCTGAGATCTAATGGTTGTTGTGGGTTTTTCAGGCTCTTTGGCCGTGTTCTGAAGTTTGTTCTTCCTAACGTTTCGCCAGTCTCTGTGGCCGGCATTTTCAGAGGACAGCACTCTGTGCTCAGTGCTGTCGTCTGAAGATGTCGGCCACAGAGACTGGCGAAACGTTAGGAAGAACAAACTTCAGAATATGGCCAAAGAGCCCAAAAAACCCACAACAACCAACAAAGATGATTGTAGCAAATAGTGGTTAATCTCCGGTAGGCTTATATTTGAGGGAATCTTGCTGAACTGTCTCCCTACCCCCAAATATAGCATCTCCCCACCCCAAATATAGAATAGAATTACTGAGATACGTTTGCTCATCAAATGCATCATTATGTTTGTGAAAAATCTTTTTCAGATACACTCCATGCATGCCTCTGCAATTTTTATTTTCTGGAGAATACATGGTTAATATTTTTGTATTCTAATTGAAGTAAAGATATTTTGAAGGAAACAATGTCTTTTCTTCCAAATGACTGAAATCATTACTGACATACATCTTATTCTAACTGACACAATATTCACAGCAACTTCCTGTGCTAAACTGCTGTGATGAACAAATAAATGGCAGTGAGTGTGTGTGTATATGTGTGTGTGTGAGAGCGTGCACGTGCATGTGTGTGTGCATTGTGTGCTGCTTGCAGTCAACAGACTTTGTTTGTTTAGACTCTCGGGGTCACAGAAAGGTGGAGTATTTTAAAGCTGAAATCAATGCAGTGATCCTCAGGCAATGATTTGCTTCCCTCATCTTACACACTCTGCACTGGACAAAATATACCATTGTGCATGGCTAAATCTCCTTCACTGCAACCTCTTTAGCTACCAATGTATCAAAAAGAATTATATAAATATGCAACATACCCTTTTGATGTGAAATAATTCAATACGAAATAAAATGGAAATTAAATGAAGTTACTTTATTCTGAAAACTAAAGAAGAAAGATAAAGGTAAAAAAAAAGATAATTCCATACTTGCTCAAGGGCAATAATAACAGATTTGGCTATTTAAGGCTGCAGTCTTTATTTATTTATTTTATTTTATTTTAATAATTTCATTTGTACCTGCTGTAGTAGTGCCTAAGCACTATTCTGGGCAACTAACAGTAGTCAAAAACACAACTACAACCCCAACCGGCAGAAGGGGAGGGTTGAGGGATGACGTAAGGGGTTGTGGAGGTCACCGTGACCCTATAGGGATTTTCCTAGTGTCCAGGGTCCCCCGTGATGAGAGCTTGGCCTCAGGATTGGCCCCCTGAAGGGAAGTGTCGCCCCCGCGGCCCTGTAGGCCAATAGGGAGAGGTTGGAGGAGATTGGCTATAAAAGGGGCGGCTGTAGGGCATGCCCTGGCATGCTCTTAGGCCTCCTGGGTAATTCTACAGTGTTTGCTGAAACGCCACAGCAGTGGTTTTGGAGAGTTCTGTGTGCGCTGACCGTTCTTTGTAGAGACTGGCGAGTCTTGGAGATGATGGTGGACAAGGAAAACCAAATTCCTGAGACAAGCCAAAAGGATACTGAGAAACCCAAAAGGTGTTTGCACCCCAAAGGCTACTACTATGGGCTTGTGGGTTTTTCCAAGCCCCTGTGTCCCTTAGGACCCCCTATAAGGCTCAGGGGGAGACTGCCTGAAGACCAAGAAAATCTAAGAAGAAAATGCAAGTCTGCAGAAGAACTATCCGTATTTACCGTGAAGACCAAGCAGAAGCCAAAAAGCACAAGAAAGCCGGCCTGCACCCTTATGTGGGGTGATGATGAAGATGATGATCTTGAATGCAATTGTGAACAAGGGTTAAAAGGAGCTTTGCAGAAGTCAACCGGAGAGACCCCGAAAACGGCAGTACCATTTGGATGGCTGTGTACTGGCAACACCGGGCACTGAGGGGGATGACGATAGTCCTGAGGAGCAGATGTTGGAAGAGGCTCCAGATGAAGGCTTTGAGAGTGCTACAGAACATCAAAGCCTGGTAAGAGCAATTTTCTAAAAAAGCTGTTATAAGGGTTTTTAAAAAATAGTTATGGGCTATGTTAGGGAATCCAAGTTTATTCAAAATGAAGCAGGGCAATGGCTAATAGAGTTTTGTCAAGAGAACAAGCTGGTCATCACAAACACTCTTTTCCAACAACACAAGAGACTACACATGGAAATCACCAGATGGGCAATACTGAAATCAGATTGATTATATTCTCTGCAGCCAAAGATGGAGAAGCTCTATACAGTCAGCAAAAACAAGACCTGGAGCTGATTGTGGCTCTGATCATCAGCTTCTTATAGCAAAGTTCAAGATTAAACTGAAGAGAAAAACCACAGGGCTAGTCAGGTATAATCTAAACCAAATCCCTTATAAATATGTACACAGTGGAAGTGAAGAACAGATTTAAGGAACTCGATTTGGTGAACAGAGTGCCTGAAGAACTTTGGATAGAGGCTCATAACATTTTAGAGGAGGCAGCAACAAAAACCATCCCAAAGAAAAGGAAATGCAAGAAAGCAAAGTGGCTGTCCAACGAGGCCTTCAAATAGCAAAGAAGAGAAGGGAAACAAAATGCAAGGGAGATAGGGAAAGTCACAGAAAATTGAATGCAGACTTCCAAAAAATAGCAAGGAGAGACAAGAGGGCCTTCTTAAATGAACAATACAAAGAAATAGAGGGAAATAGTAGAAAAGGAAAAACCAGAGATCTGTTCAGGAAAATTGGAGATGTCAGAGGAACATTTTGTGCAAAGATGGATATGATAAAGGACAAAAATGGGAGGGACCTAACAGAAGCAGAAGACATCAAGAAGAGGTGGCAAATATACACAGAGGAATTATACCAGAAAGATTTGGATACCCCAGACAACCCAGATAATGCGGTGGCTGACCTTGAGCATCCTGGAGAGTGAAGTCAAGTGGGCCTTAGAAAGCTTGGCTAACAACAAGGCCAGTGGAGGTGATGGCATTCCAGTTGAACTATTTAAAATCTTAAAAGATGACGCTGTTAAGGTGCTACTTTCAATATGCCAGCAAGTTTGGAGAACTCAACAGTGGCTAGAGGACTGGAAAAGAGACAATAAAATGAAATATTAAAAAGGTAATAAATTATTTCAAATAAATTAAACAAATTAATTAACCACATACCTGACATTAGCGATCATGAAGGTTATAAAAACATGTCTGGGCAACCTATTTAAGTAAAGACGGCAGTGCCTGGAGATGATGTATTCAGCCATAAAGAAAAAACCTGTTAACCCGAAAACAAGATGTAACCTGAAAATAAGCCCTAGTGGGCAATTAATTTCTATGGGGGGCACATGAAAAATCTTAACTGTGTTTGGGGGCCGCACCAACTTTAAAAATAAAATGAAAGTTATGTTATGCTTGCTTTTATTTTAAAATGAAACAGGGATGTTATGATTGTTTTTATTTTAAACTCGTTAATCTTCACAAATACTAAAGAGGTTTTTTGCATTATCAGGCTGGACTGGAGCGATGACCAGCGGGCCGGACAGAGCGGTTCATGGGCTGTATGTGGCCCACGGGCCGCACTTTGCCCAGGCCTGCTCTACTGTGATTTTTCAGTATGCTTGTAATATAAGCCCTGCCCCAAAATAAGCCCCCCGTTGAGTGAAATCCTGGCCTCCACCACTGTGCAGCAACCAGAAGAAAATGATACGACTGTGTTTGAATAAATGTAGCTTGTTGTACATGGAAAAAAAAATATCCCCTGAAAATAAGCCCTAAAAAATTTATGTAAGACCCTGTCTTATTTTTGGGGAAACACAGAGTATTAAACTGACTTAATATCACAGACACACATAATTACGATTGTAACATGCTGGTATTTAATTCTATAAGTATGAATGTGGATGGTAACTCTTGCAAGGGTTTAACGATACTTGAAGGAAACTGACATTCATCCCAAAAGTCAGCCTACGTAATCCTTTATTATTACATTTCTCCGCCAGGGCACAAAACAATTTTAGGCCCCAAGCGTAACTAACACCCAGTCACCATGGCAAACAAGAAGCGGATGTTTGATAGGGGACCTAAATCGCCTAGTGATGAGCTCACCGAGTTAGTTCTATTCGCCTTTCTTTTTCAAAAAATAATATTCCCCCTCTACTGTCCACGGATTAAGAGCTTGGACCGTCCCTGTGAAGAAGCACAGCTGCAAAATATCATTTGAATGCAACAGAAATAGTTCAATCCGCTTTTGACTCCCCGCTGCCGATAGAACGTCGTAGGCTCAGACGGGTTAAAGGAAACCAGACAGGCGCTGCTTTGGACAGCCCATTTTGGGGCTTTCCCGTGCATTGTGAACTGGTCTTAGAAAAGAGGTTTATGGCTTGAGGCGTTAAACTTCAAGGCTTTGAGAGTTCCTGGTTTGGATGGGCTGTCGGGCTCCGCCCCCTCAGTTTCATTGGTTGCATTGTTCCCTCGGGGGCGTGGGTGAGCCACGTAACCCTGCCCTCGGATGTTTGGTTTCCGTTCAGTGTGGGAATCGGTGGAAGGGAAGCGAATGGCTTTGCCCTCAGTTCACAGGTGCCTCCAAGTGAGTGGCACGAGGCGGCGGGGGGTGGGCAGCGCTGCTGTTAGCAGGTGGACTCCTGTGACTCGCCTCAAGGCCATGGCAGCAGAGTCGCCCCCGTCGCTGCTTGGCTTCAGCTTCCTTGGCTCGCCCGGGGTCTCGAAAATGTCACCTACTCTTACCTGGAGTAGAGCAGTCATATGGCCCCAGCTGGGTGCCAGTTGTAAAATGCAGAACCCACCCCACAGCAACCGATTTGCTAATCTGAGGCTGAATATTTTGGATTACTTTAATGCATCCTTTATTATTTCCATGAAAGAGTGTACAGCATAGGGAACCTAAAATTCTGGGGCTGAATTAAGAATTGTATCCATATCAATCTGTCTTATGCACTGAAACATGTACAGAGTATTATCTTTTTTTTTTCTTAACTTTCTAATCTGACCTGCCAGATTTTCTCAAATTGTCAAATTCTTGTAGTACTGTGGTTTCCTAACTTTGTATGTAGTTTTTCCATGGGTCTGAAAGACTTAAGCCTCCCAACGGTTAGTTGTTGGCAGTCCGCAATATAGCTCACTATAGTACTGTATTTGGTTTACTTTAGGTACAGTTTGGTTCACCCTATTTTCCTGTTTAGTTGACTGTTGTGGAAATCGAATGCTGGACAAGACTGACTTTCTGTCTGACCTAATAAACTTCTGATTTGACTAAACTTCATTTGGAAGTAAATATGCACATTTCTAAATCTATGAAAAAAATATTTTGTTCTTCCAGCTCAATCAAGAAAATCAGCTGCTGCTTAAAAAGCTGAGGCATGCACGCTTAAAAAATAAGCAGCTGGAAAGTGATTTTATAAAGTTACAAGAACAGCTGCATGAAGAAAAGAAGTTCATTGTCTCCCCTGTCACAAAGAGAGAGTAAGAGTGAATTACATTGTATATAAATGTTTCATAATTTTCCAAGATTCCAACCAGAGGTCAGGTTTGTATGCAGAATGGTTATCTTTTATGCTTTTTTAGTCTCATTAGTAACCCAGCTAAGTAATACTAGGTTTGAACTAAATTAGAAGCTTGGTGGGTCATTCTACATTAGCTTAAATGGAATGCGAATCCAATTTTTTTAAAAATTGTTCTTCGTGTTTATTTTGGGATTTTAAAACATTTACATATCATTGTGAGACAATGTGTGTATCAATTTCCAGCACAGCTTTCTTGTGATGATCAGTTTGATAGACCAAACATTTTTTGTGTATTCTGCTAGTCTTACAAAAGTTTAACACTTGTACAGATTGTAGCGCTGTATATCTTGAAACATTTTAAAATACTGTAGTGTATGGAACTAGAACATACCATGAGTTGTAACTAGGAAAATATAACAGATGCAAAACTAGTAGTATGCAGTGATGAACTGTGATGTATTGGGATATATTATTTTAATATTCTGACAGAAGGGATATTCGTGGCTTGTTTAGGGTTAAGAGACCTTTGATTCCCCAGATGTAATGGACTACAACTTCCATAGTCCCTTGTAAGGCCTGTTGGACTTGCTAAAATAACTAGAAAGCCAAAATTTTTCCCATCTCTGGACTTACTTCATCTTTTTCCGGGTTGTATTCGTATTCACAGAGAATGTGTAGGAGAACACACTGGGCAATCATATGCCTGTTTATTAATAACTTCATCCAGTATGCTAAATAGAATTTATGGTATGACTAAACAGAGGAATTTAGAGTGATCTGGATTGCATTTAAAAGGTTCTTATCTTTCTTGTGATCTGTTTTATATCATAATGATCCATTTCTTCTCCCATGAGAAGGATCTAGACAGCACTTCAGATCACTCCAATTTCTCCTCCTTTTGATGATTGATGCCCCTACTCATTTCCCCACCTTTTGTGTTGCAGATGCCATTCTGCAGGCTACAGTGACTTTCCCTTTTGTGTGTGTTTAATTTAGTAAGTGGCATAGTGCTACAGCAATATATCAAACTAGTATGGATACTCCCTTATGTCTGCAATAGTTGCTGTGTCAATTTGAAAAAAAAATGAGAAGAGGAAAATAGATAGGGTTTTTTTGTTGTCCTTTCTACTGTTACAATCCACTGCATCCATCACAGGATTGTCACCAAAGAGAATGCTGCCCACAACTCTATTTTGGGAGCAAATAAAGCAACCACATAGATTGTAGAATAGAACAATTAGGAACACTCCCAATCACATCTGATAAACTGCAGTTCTAGCTCTATGCCAGAAAGGAGCAGAACAGCTTACAGAAGGGGCAGGATATATTGTTCTTATTTAAAATACATGGGGTCACTGGAAAACTGTACCAAAAGTGAACCAAATATAGAGCTATATGCTTGTCTAATTGACCCCTCATTCTCAGGAAAACTGTGTTTAGGGTGGCTGCCCTAAGTGGGAATGCTCTATTAGCTTGTATACTGAGCTTGAGGTTGTAGTACAATCTGCATTCAGGTGGAATAATTGAACAAAATTATTGATTTATATAGTCTAAATGCATTTAAACTGTCTCAATGAGAGTTTATGTGCAATTTGCAATGGGAAAAGGTACTGTAATTTAATGAGTGATTTTCTTTCACATTTTCCTATTGTGAACTTTGCAAAAGTGTTTCTGTATAGATTGATGTATCCTTTTTTTTTTTTTTTGAAGGATGAAATAGTGGAACTTGATTCCCTTCTCAACTTCTGGGGATGATTAGGCAAAATATATTATTACATTAGTAAAATCTGCTCACATGGGGAAAGAGATTCTAAGTCACTGTATTTGTTTAATTTAGTGTGCTGGTTCAAACAGATGGGATTAACCAGAAGGAACATGAAATAGTAAAGAAAAATGCTCGGTAAGCTTTGCAGAAATAGTAAAATGCTTGTCCTTATTACATACCTCATCCCATGCATATCTACCCATAGAGAGTAACTACATATGTTCAGCAAGAGGTACTCACATGCAAAGTGAGCATAGTATTGAAGTATGTCTGAGATATCAAACACAACCCATCTCCATTTTCCGGATTGTAAATGTAGCAGTTTGTATCAACTTTGATGTTTTGGGTAATTTCTTTAAAATTACTGCTGGAAAGAGCAACATTTTCTTCTAACAATTAACCTTGCTGTCATTAACTAGGCTACTGCATCACAAAATCCTCAAGTATGGAACTGACTTTTGCCATCTGCTTCTCTTCCATCCATATCCCCTTCCACTCAGGCAGAACTATAATGTGGGAGGTTACAGACATATTTCAGTCCAGCTCCAGCTGGAAATATGACTAGTGCTGGCATGCCAATAGCAACACACCCAGGATTGCTGGTCCTTCTCTCTTACTGAGGTTGCTTCCAATCAGCCTTTAGTTTTATCAAGCTCTGCTTGATTTTCCTCAGGCATTGTGCCCGCTAAACTGCCTAATTTACATATTGTACCTAGTTTTTCTGAAATGGAATCAAGCAAAAAGACCTTTAGGTAGAGCATGTGGAATCCACCAACACAATTGCTAAATACCTTCTATTTTTTCATCATGTTTCAACAAGTATTTATGTTAGGAAACCCTTATTCTTGCTGAATCTTGCATGTTTTCTTTTTCCAGGGTACTCCAGATGTACAACAATTTGCAGAAAAGGTACAATAAAGAAGTAAAAATAAACCAAGGACAAAGTGAAACAATTGCAACACTTTCTGTAAGTTTTGTAATGTAATTTGACATAATAAGAGGGACTTATTCAAAGGAAGTTATGGCCTTTAGTTTGTGAGGCCTGAGCAAGGCTGTTAATGACAGCACCTTTGGGAGGTCATTAATTAATTGGGTCATAGTAAGTCTGAGGTGACCTAATGCACATAACAGAAAAGAATGGCCCTAATCCTATATATGTTTTCTATAAGCTTCACATAACTTGCTACAGCTAAATGTGGCTTGTTAAAGAGGTGCCAGGGTGCATTCTAGTTTCACAGCTGCGTGCATGATCAGGTATGTGACCAAGGTGCACCCTGGTGCCTTTTAAATTACACTGTTGCACTGTGGCAAGTTACACAAACTTGATGAGATCACCAGTAGGCTTCTGGCCTATATTTTTAAAGATCTGCTTTAAAATTACAGGGTTGGATTAAGATCCAGGGAGCAATCAAACATGTTTTGGGCCCCTTGCAGCATAGTCCAAGATATTTTCTAGCAATCAGACAACATACAGGGAATCACGAACCAATCTGGGTCTCAATCCAAATGTTTTGGTCTTAGCTACTCTTTTTCAGAGCTGGGCTGGAGTGACTCTAGCATGCATGAAAGGGTCACTTTAAGGGAGAGTGCTCTCTGTTAAGTAACACTTTCCTGTGTAGTCAAGCACAATCCTATATGTCTGATCATACTCTTAGTTGGAATTCTAACACCTCCATTGAAATAATGGCCAGTATTTTGCAGGGCTCCACTGCTGCAGTGGGAATGACGCAACCAGGAGGGGCAGATTGCAGCTAGTTGGAAAGCTTCTTTCTCAGTTGTGGCATATGTGAGACTTTTCTCCTTGTGCATGAGTTGTGTGCACCCCAAAATTGGAAAAGGAACTCTTCAGCTAGTGGCAATCTGCTTCTGCTGAGGTCATTGCTCATATACTGGTGCAGTTTCACAAGAAGATACAGTATTGGCCAAATTGAATTTTTGAACACATTACTAATTTAAGTTTTATTGACTGCAATAGCTGTACTCCCAAGTATGCCCTGTATCCATATTTGTGCAGTGTTTATTGGGTTGGTGTTGCATGCAGTTTTGTTGTACAGATAGTTTTTGCTGTCTCTCTTTTACAGTATGTGTGGAATTGTTCTAGTTAGCTGTGGTTCAGTGATGTATGCATTTATACTTGCAGAAGTTCATTTGTCTGGCTAAGCACTGATTGGCTGACCAAACTTTAATATTAGGCAATGTCTAATTGTGTGAATGACATTTCTAATTTCTACACTAAACATTTCATCTTTTAATTTACCTAGGATTCCTGCTGTTTTTCACTTTTTTCCATAAATTCTGATGTAATACTTATTAACCCTTGAACTGATGCACAAAGCATATTTCTAAGTATGCTTAAAATGGTATTAATCTAATTTTCTCATCAAAATTCTTTTTCCCCCTGTTCTCTTGAAGGCTAAAATTAATGAACTGGAACATCAGCTTCGGTTAGCAAAACAAAAAGTGATGGCATTGGAAAGCAAGATTCCAGCAAAGAACAAAACAGTTCAGTTGAAAAGAAAAGTTTCATCTCATAAATGCATGTGTAAAAAGAAGGGGAGCTGTTCTTGCAAATATTTAGGTAATAACATGTTTCTCTTCTCATGCCTTTTGATATATAAGTCATTGGGCTTGAACCCAATAAAGTTTCATATCTGCTTCTCACACGCTGGGGTGGGGACGAGAAGAAGGAGCATCACACCTACCTGTATGCCTTTAGAAGCCATGATTTTCTTTGACCTGTACTGTATATAATTTATTTCTGTTGATGTGCCTTGAAAGGGTCTGAACTTGGGTTCTCACATAAGTGTGAGGTGTGCACTATATAAAAAAGCTAAGATTTTTTTAAAATTGAAAGTTCAGCAGTTAAGGATGTTAAGCACACAACTACAACTTGTAAAAGAACATTGTACTTTAAGCCTTGTCTTTTCTATTATTCCTTTATTCATAACATCAACATTATTGTTCCATGAAAGCTTATTGTTCAAGCTATTGTTAAGTAAAGCCACTAGTGTTGTATAGTGGTTAGTGCCAAATTAGACTACGGAGGTAAAGGTTCCCCTTGACATTTAGTCCAGTCATGTCCGACTCTAGGGCACGGTGCTCATCCCCGTCTCTAAGCCGTAGAGCCAGCGTTTGTCCGTAGACAGTTTCTGTGGTCACGTGGCCAGCGTGACCTTCCCATCGTGGTGGTACCTATTTATCTACTTGCACTTGCATGCTTTCAAACTGCTAGGTTGGCAGGAGCTGGAACAAGTGACGGGAGCTCATTCCGTCGCATGGATTCAATCTTAGGACGGCTGGTCTTCTGACCTTGCAGCACCGAGGCTTCTGCGGTTTAACCCGCAGCACCACCACCTCCCAGACTAGGGAGACACAGGTACAAATCCTTGCTTTCCCTGTGAGGCTTAACGGGTGACCTTGGCCTGTTGCTCTCTCTTAGCTTAATCTACCTCACAAAGAGGTAGTGAGGATAAATGGAGGTGAGAAAGAAATCTGTACACTCCTCAGAGGATTTGCTGGATTAAAATAACATGACAGTACCATGAATACTCTTTAACTATGCTGTGTAAATTATACATACCTCTGCATACAGGATGAGGTTTTTATATGCTTCCACCCCTCAGTTGTACTTCCCCTGCTAGTCATATGGATTCTTAAAACCAAACTCTGAAGTGATTTAACAGTTTCAGCAGATAAAAGAACTGAATTGTAGGTTGGCAGTAAAATCATATCTGAAACAATTTCTACAGTAGGTGTGCAAGACTTCATACTGGCTGTGCTTTTTCAAAACAGGATTTTGTAAGAAGAGAAAAAAGTGATTTGCCTGAAGATATAATCACATTTTAAAAGGTATGAAAGGTAACAGGATTTTGTTCTTTAGTGAGCTCTTAACTTGAAAGGAAGTTTTTTTTTCTTATGCTATAGACCAGTTGCTTGTTGAGATTCAGCGTCTGAAGATGGAAAATGAAACTATATCGAAAGAAAGAAGAATGTTGAGAAATGAAATTGCTGCTTTAGACAAGGTAATTTATTTATTTATTTATTCCATTTATACCCCGCCTATCTGTTCACCGCGAACACTCTTGTGTGAAGTAATGCAAAAAGATTCTAGTTGCACATGGAAAAAATCTGGGATTAAAATATTCTCTTTGATCCAGAATCTTATTTTGTGCTTCTGGTACCTCAGGTATCTGTGTTCCAAATTCTGATACTTTTAATCAGACAATGGCCTATAGAAATCATATTTGGTGCTGTTTTTCTGCCTTTGCCAAAAAACAAACCAAAAACTGTAGATGACAGAAGCTTTTGTTAATAAAGGTGAAAACTGTGGATCTCCTAGAAATTAATATTTGGATCCAAATTAAAATTAATATTTTCTTTGTTTGCAAACCTTGGTTTTTAATTGATTATCTCCATGGTCAATAAAAGAAATAAATTTTGAGATTCAGAAGTGCAGTTTAACGAAGAGGCCTTGTGCATAATTCCTTTTCAGGATTTTTTTGATGAAATAGAAGATTTAAAATATGCTCTTCAAGAAGCCATAAAAATGAATACTCGGTATGAAAGGTGTTTGAAACAACTAAGTTCAACTTATGGAGTTACCCTTACATCAACTTTGCCAGCTGCTAAACATCGAGGATCTCTATAGAAACAGAATTCAACCAAGATTATTATTAAACTGAAAGTACTGTCGAAAATTACTTATTAGGATAGCATTATGTTCAATAAAATCATGTCTAATTTTTAAACTTTTGCATACTTTGTGTGTGGAATTTTTCTTCTCTGCATACTTTGTACTTATTATTCTCTGTATTTTCTGAAATATAAATCATAGCCTGGCTGGATAGAACACTTCACGTTAAAATGTTCTGAATAAGCTTGCATGGGTGCTTCACCTTCCCTCTCTTCATTTATGAGAGAGAGAGAGAGAGAGAGAGACTTTCCCAATCTGTCTCTCCCTCCCCCCCCCTCTGCCTAATGGTAGGACTGGCACTGATCTGCCTTGTACAGTACTTTGTTTGATCCTAATCATGCATCAACACGGTTTACTTCGTTCAAAAGGAGTTACTGAATTCTGTTAGCATAGCATTCCATGCATTGAGCTGACCTCTTATTTAATTACTTTTTAAAAGGCGCGTTTCCCCCCCTATGGGATCAAGGTGGTGTGCTTAACTCTCCTCCTTTCCCCAAACCCTCACAATGCCATTGCTGGGTTAGGCAGGAGGGGACTGAGCTTCGCTGTTCCAAGGTCATCCCACGAATATTATACCCGGGGGGGGGGCACGATTAGAACCTGGGCCTCCCGAGTCCCCGCCTAGCATTTCTAACCAGAACGCCCCGTCGGAGAACCAAGGTGCATCGGACTTGATCCTGCGCAGCCCTGGGCACGCTGCAAGAACCGAGGCCAAGTCCGCCACATCCTCGCCCTCCGCCACGAGAGTTCGGCAACGCTCGCTCGCCCCCCCCCCGTCCCACTTGCCCGACAGCCGCCCCGTCTCGCCGCGCTCCAAGCGCAGAAGCGCTGAGCGGCCAATCAAGCGGCAGAGAGGCGTCCCGAGCTCGCAGGGCCCGCCCCCGCCCCCGCCCCTTTCCCACGCGCAGAGGCACCCCTTCCTTGCCAGCGCCTCTGCGTCGCGCCTTCCGCCCGGCTCCGTGAGCGACGAGGGACGCTCCGCAGAGCCCCGCCGGGGACCCGCAGCGCATCCCGACGGAGCGGGAGGCTCTCGGCCCTCCCACCTCTCCCGAGGCTGGTGAGTGAATGAATGAATGAATGGCGGGCAAGGGTTCTTCCGCCCACGGGCAGCCTCGCTGGGCTTTGTTTTGGCCGCCGTCGCTCCTCCCCGGGGAGAGGAGGAAGAGGAGGAGGAGGAGGAGCAGCGCCGGGGCCGAGTCCTCTTGGGGAGAGGGAGGGGGCGCTTTCCGCCCTCAGGAGTTTCTCCCCCGGAGGCTTTGCTTCCCCTTCTGAAAAGGCTGCCGGTTGGCGAAGCTTTCCTCGCTGCTCTTCCAAGCCGGGAGCAAGAAAGTGCCCCTTGTTGGTGCAGGATCTCACAGAGAAGATCCTTCGGGACAGCCCGTGGGGCCGCCGCCGCCGCCGCTTCAGTAGCTGAGAGTGGCTATAAATTCGGATGCCTTGGGTAGGGCTTGCAAGTAGACAAAAATCATAGGTAGCGTTAAAAAAAAAGTGATGGCAGAGCCGTGGCTTTATAAAGATCAACTTAAACACCACCGCATGCAAGTAAGGAAGGTTTTCAATCGCTAGAAGGATTTATTTTCTTTTCCAGGTTGTGTGTTATCGAAACAAAAAAAAAAGAAAAGAAAAGAAAAAAAGGGGGGCTGGTGAAAGGAAAGACGCTGCTGAGAATAAAACCCTTTTCCGGCAGCAACGTCTTGGTGTCCCTCTGGTTTCCTGTTGGGATGATGGGAGAGTGAAACTTCCCTCCGGAGGAAATCCTTATGAAATCCATGAACTGCACCTCTATGATGTGACCTTATAGTTGGCCCTAACGAAGCGGCCAGGCTCCTATGGAATTAGAGACCATCGTGCCTTAAATATATTCAATTTTATATATACCTTATATACCTCGTTAATTTACAGGATTGTTATTAGGATTAAATCATTGTTTATTTTCACATCTTAGTGGCAGTATGTATTTAGGGGTTGTTCTGCTCAGTTTCTTGAAGTTTCTTTTAGTCCAAAGCCCTTCCCTGATATTCCTTCCCTTGCAGTATTTTGGTTAAAGATTATGAGATATGACCTGGAATCGATACTGAGTTCTTAAAACGGACGTAATTTGAACTGGAGCTTTACTAATGGGTTAGTTTATGGCTTAGTCCTTGTGCTGCCTTTGTGGCCTGTTCCAGGGAGTTCATGGCTTGAAGATTATTTTCTGGGAAGAGGAAAGGATTAGCGCCACCCCTGACTACTTTGATATATCTTAAGCATGCTAATTGTAGTCAGTGTTTGCAGAAGTTAAAAAATACTGCACTTTGGGTGGAGTAAGTAAAATTGAGAATGCTTTATCTCTGATTTATTTAGGGCAGAAAATCATACCATTATACAAACATTATAAATCTGGAGTCATTGCTGACAGACACATCCTTAAACTTGTCTGTTAAGTGAAGACGAATGCACAGCTGCACAGCGATTTGCTTCAATAACTTAAGTGTTTTTTCTTCCATGCCTTTCTGTTGTCTCAGCTGGGTATGATAGTTGTTAATAAGTTGAAATCCATAAATGAGCCATTACAGATGATTCACAGTCTGTATTCAACCATTTATATTCTTTTCTGTGTCTCCCATAGAGCTCGTCGTTGATATGGAGAGCTATTTGAAACACACATTGGACTTGATTGGCCTGAATAGCTGGATATTGGTGCCATTTATGAGGAGAAAAAACTGCACTTAGGCTGAGATGGCAGTTGTGAGCTTGAGCATTGTGCACACTTTTTCTTGGAGGAAAAGAAGCACTTTTGCCCTGATACTGTTGTCTGTTATCCTTTCTGTGTTTGTGTTCTGTGAATTTTTAATTTATTACATTGTTATAATTCAGTGTCAGTGGCCACAGCTGAAAAGCCAGTCATCAACAGCAAGCAAACAGACGCCAGATTCTATTTTAAAAGCAATGTTTTTATCAGATACTCATCTGCTTGGTCAAGTCAATGGACACTGGTTGGACAAACTAAGGAGGTGAGAACAAAGTATGAGCAAAATGTTGCAACTTAATCAGTTGCTGTTTACAGCCAGCCTGTTGTGTCCTGGATGCGAGGCTTGCGAACTAATTCAAGGCCTATTAGTTGGCTGAGTGTCTGGCTTCTAGTTCAGTAAATGAAATTAAACATTGTAAAAATGTTAGCTTATTTACTTTTCTGAAGATAGCCAAGGAAGTAAAAGGGTGAGCAAATATTCATTGGCAAAATCCTGTTGGCACAATTCTGCCAGTGGAAACTGGATAGGTGCACTGGACTTAATTAATTTAAATTAATGTAAAGCTTCTTATCCTCCCTTTTCAGCTTCTAAGATTCCATAGGGCCCCCTTTTGCCTTGAGGAAGCCTTTGGAAGCTTCAGAACAAGGGGGGTGGACTTTAGAAGCCAAAGATCACTGCTGGCAGTCACAATCTGAGCAGCAGTGATCTGGCAGTGATTTTTTATTTTAAAAGTCTCTCCCACCATACTCCTTAAGCAAAAGGGAGGCTCAAAAGCTGAAACCAGGGTGGTGGTGGTGGGAGAAATAGGAAGCTTTAAATTAATTAATTTTGGCGCACCTATCTGTTTTATGCACCACAAAATTATGTGATAGGATTTTGCCCATTGTTTCAGGGAATAATTGTATTTAATATTTTCTTATTTGTTTCCTATTACAATATCACATCAGAACCAAAACAGACTAAAAGCTAATTAAAAAATATTCTGAAGTACTGTAAATGAAAATATTATATAATATTGTAGTCTGCTTGTGACACGTTGGTAAATTGCAACGTTGCAACTGGAGTAGTAGGGCCATAGAATCATTGGATTTATAAAGTTGACTCACTAAATTCCCATTGATTCAGTGGGCCTGCTCTAGTTGTGACTGTTGGATTTCAGATACTCTACAATAGTGCAACATAATCTTACAATAGTAACATTGTTATAGCAGTACCTCTTTAATTTATTATTTTGCTTTAAAATACTGAAATTTAAAATGAAGAATGGAGAATGGCCCACTTGAAAACAGTACTGTATATACAACCCTAATTTTTCAGCACAATTTTTTTTGCTGAAAAGGCACCCCCCTGGCTTATGCTTGAGTCAGTGTCAAAGTAACATGTTCTCCCCTGCAGTGCGGGTGTTCTCCAGATTCCCCCGCTCATCTACGGGTGCCTGCACCCTCTGTGGGTTGTCCGATGACCTGGGTTAAGTACACTACATTTCCGCTTCCAGGACATTCCCATCGTCCTCCTTCTGCATATTCTATATACCCACCTTTCTCCTCCTTCTCCCTCCATCTTGTTACGCAACGGTAGAGCAATAGATAAGCGCATTATCTGGTATGAGTCCTCCCTCCGCAGGCAGTGAAGTGTGTCTTGCAGCTTAGAAGGGCAATATCTTCAAAAACATTTAACCTAATGATGCCTCAATTAATGTAATTGGTATCTATTTTTATTTTTGAAATTTACCAGTTGCTGCATTTTCCACCCTTGGCTTATACTCAAGTCAATAAGTTTTCCTAGTTTTTTTGTGGTAAAATTGGGTGCCTTGGCTCATATTTGGGTTAGCTTATACTCGCATATATACGGTACATCCTGTATTTGTAGCTCAGCCTACATTGGCCCCTGCCATTGCTGTTTACATGTAAGTCATACTTCATGTTGAAGTAACAGAAAACAAAAGTGCCCACTGCTTATATATAGTAATCTTTGATCCTTGACATCAAGGGTGAAATATTATTTTATGTACATTAAAGAGCTGTTTGAAGATAAGAAAACAGCAGAATTTATTGTACAGGATGTTGGTATTGGATCAGAAATGCAGAAACATGAAAGGTAACAAGCTAGACCAACAAAACAAAAGAAAAACAAACTTTTGAATTCAAATGTTATTGCTGGAATATTAAAGCCAATAGTCTGATGACTTAAGTGTTTTAGTGAATATTTTCAATTAAATCTACAGCTCCTGAAACCTGGCTTACCTTGACCTTTATTACATTAACCCACTCCTCCCCCAAAGTTTTGATTAAGGCAATGGTTTAAGTCTTTCTTAAAACTAATACATAGTAGAATTTACAAGAAGTACAAAGATAGAGCAGGAAACAAGCAACTTGGATTGAGAAGAGGGACTGGTGCCAGGAAAAAAAGTACTTTGCGTGCCTGTATTTGAGGGGAGGTGCCATGATAGGAATGTGTATTGTGTATGCTTGCTTTATTGACAATGTGAAAGCCTTTGACAAAGTCCAGTGTGGGAAGCTTATAATTGGTTAGTAATCAAAGTTCTTGATCCAAGAGATAATATAATTGACAACCTATATTGGGTACAAAAATTGCAGTGAAAGTTGCTGATTGTGTGAGAGAAGACTGAAGTACAAAGATCAGTAGATGAGGATCTATTCTCTCACCAGTGGGTGATACAATTGATGGTACTCATCAGTGGACACATTATCAGCCACATCCAGTACACAGACAACACAGTACCGTTAACTGATAGTTTAGTTAGTCTGGTTAGATTTCAAAAATAATGAAATAGTGATGAAAATGATTTAAAAGTGAGTGTGAAGGAAATCAGATTCACAATAATCAGACAAAAACCAGCAGTCAGAGAAATGCAGTTAAAAACCCTATGTGTTGATTGATATAAGTAACTTGGGCTCATAGTTGTACGGTAGATTACCCAGAGCAGCTTCCATAGAATGAAGGCAAGGATCCTATTGAAATGTGGAGTGCAAGCACTCACATAAGGAACAGCTTATTGAGGAAACCACTTGCACGTGGTTTTTTTGCCGGTGGTCTTTTGACCAAAGAATGTAAATGCAAGAAAAAATTAAATTTGATTTCTCAGTTCTGCATATAGCCTGGAACAGTAGACTTCAAAATGGATTGCT